ACTCTTTCCAATCTTTAAATTTTTAAAGATTATGGATAACTAGAGCAATAGAAACTCTCCAATCTTTATATTACATTGAAAGCCAACATAGAACAATAGCTTGGCAGTCACTGGAAATTTAAAAGGCTTTAAAGGTATAAGATTAAAAAATTAAATGGTATCAGTTGGTATTTAAGAAAAGCATCAGGAGTATTGAAAACTCTTGAAGTGAAACAAATTTGCTCCAACTAGTCATGTATATGAAACAAAGGTCCTTGGATTCCACACTAGAATGTAATATGCTGGGGAAAACTGTCATATGGTCTGGTGGTCGGGAAAATCTTGTCACTGGTAATGCTCTGCAGAGGCCTTTGCACAGAAAATCTCGGTGAAATTAATGTAAGACCTTTCTTCTAGGTTTTTCTCAATTACTGTTGTGCTTTACTAACATATGAAAAAATTAGAATACAGAATTTTTTCAAGAGACTTGTACTCCATGGCTTACATTTAAATTTGTTAAATGAGCATCAATTGCACACCAAAGAAAACAGTAATTGTCATTAACTAGTTAGTCAGTGGAACAGTTACCAGATATTGCCTAGCACAATGTTTGACAAATAGACACACAATAAACTTTTGCTACATTTTCTTATTTTGAATTTTGATTTGAGGAAAAACTATGTATTGAGTGAAGGAAAAGAGACAAAGCCTATTATATCAAAGTACTATAGACTAAATGTTTATACCCCTTCCTCCCGCACAATACATGTGATGAATTCCTAACACAATGTGATGGTACTAGGAGATGAGCTTTTGGTAGGTGACTTGGCTATGAGGGTGGAGTACTCATGAATCAGATTATTGCCCTTGTAATACAGAATCTAGAGATCTGTCTTGCCTCTCTGTCACATGAGGATATAGTGAGAAATTGTGTTTTATGAACCAGGAAGCAGGCCCTTGCCAGATCTGAATCCACCAATGCCTTCCAGAGCTAGACTTCCATCTTCCAGAACTGTGAGAATTAAATTTCTGTTGTTTATAAGCCACCCAGTCTACAGTATTTTTGTTATAGCAGCCCCAGCTGACTAAGACATAAAACTGACAGGGAAGGCACTTCCATTTAGAGAGGTTTGATCTCAGTGAAGGTCAGGTATTGGGAAGTTAATACCTCTGCAGAAATCAAAAACAAGGCATAAAGTTTTATTGAAGAAGAGGCATATGAACAGAAGAACAGGTCGGAGGATGTGCTCATGGAAGATTTCTTACTGGGGAAAGGAGTTTTTCTGTATGTTTCTGTACATTTTATCATTGTTCTTAGAGATGGTCAGGGATTGGTTGTTTTCTCCAATAGTTATTTCCATCTCCATATTCTAACGCATTGTTCTGTTAGCTACCTAGCTATATTTGATAATAAAGTTAACATTAAAGAAGGAAGGTGGCTTTATGGAAAATAAATGTACCTCTCACACTCT